TTGTACCTTGAAAGTGTCCCATATATTGGCTTCCTAAAGGAATGCAAAAGAGAGGTTTTCTAGAGAGAGCTTCAGATGAAAGGACTGATTGTCACTTTTTGGGACATTTCTGTACTTACTCCATAAATACACACACATATATGGCATATATGGACCATGATCTAGAACATGTATTCTACCTGCAGATGTACCAGGATCTCTCAGACCTCTGACTTTAGTTGCATGCTTTTCTTTTACCATTATTTTCCTGCTAGTCAACAGGACTAAGTAACTATAAATTCTGCTCTGCCTGTAATCCCCCTTTGCTACCAGTAAAAATGCAGCAACAACAGCAACAAATTTAAACACGCAAATGCTGCATAAGCTTCTGCATAAAAGTGCCACACAGATGACTGGTTACACTTCAAAATGGTTTTCTTAGTTGCCAGGTAGTAAAAAAATCTACAGAAAGGCCAGTAGATTAAGAGGAGTCTCAGGCACTTGGCTCTTTTCAGTGCAATTCTGAAGTGTTGAAACTTTTCTCATAATTTTAAGGATATGGTAGCTTGATACTACACTTACAGGACAACGCTGAGCACCTCAGTGAAACAATCTCTTGCACACTCTGTACTGCTGTATAAGCCACAAAAGTGTGCCAGAAATTGCAGTGAAGCACAGCATGTTCACTTCCTTGGAAAACCCACCATAGGCTGGTTCTTCCACTGCAGTGCCTTCCAAGCCTCAGTACAAAGTACCGTCCCTGGTGGCACACAGCCTGTCTTCCCTTCTCCTTCCTCTCTCCAAACCCCAACCATTTCATTCTTACAGTGGGTGGTTACTCCTTGTCACTGGTTGTCATAAACACCCAAATCACCAGACTTCTGCAGAAATGCAAAACTGGCCAGAGTGCAACATTGCCTCTGCAGCTGCTAAGGCTTTTTGTTTGCTGGGTATTAATAAGAGATGAGTTCTGTTCTGCTGGCATTCGTGCTCTAATTTGGAAGCAATTCCCTCTCTGGGTCACACCAATTACGTAACTGTCTGGCAACATTACGGTCCAAGTTTGCGATACGCAAAGTCAAAAGGCACACAAGTCCTGGGGAGACAAAAGTCCTTTTCAAGGTGAAAAAGTAGATGACTATAAAACAAACACAAACTTTAAAAGATATCTGAAAATGCTGTATGGGTACATGTTAAGATATTATCTTTTGTTTTGAAAAGTGACAGGGCTTGCCCATGAAACGAACGACATACACCAACTGTGCATGAAGTGGTTAATAGAGAGCATCTGCCATTCATTTAATTGCTGGCCCGGTGTTAAACCTTCACAGATTCCCTAGATGGTCTTAAACCAGGCTATCAGCAAATTCAAAAGCAACGTGCATTTTGCCCAAATACCTCCAAAACACAGAAGCATGTTCCAAAAAGTGAAAGCTGTTTTGTGTTGTCATTGAACTACCACACAAAAAGCATTTTTCTAGCCTACTGAGATTTTAAATATAACGGACAAAGTAACTCTTAATGACAAGTCTAGAGGAGCTTAAACACAGAATCACCAAATTGTCAGAGTTGGAAGGGACCTCTAGAGATCATCTAGTCTACACCCCTGCTAACACAGGATTGCCTAGAGCACATCACATAGGAACGCATCCAGATGGGTCTTGTATATCTCCAGAGAAGGGGACTCCACAACCTCCCTGGGCACCCTGTTCCAGTGCTCTGTCACCCTCAGAGTAAACAAGTTTTTCCTCTTACTTAAATGGAACTTCCTATGTTCCTATGTGGCTGGCTGGCCACAGCATAAGGTGGTACCACCTTATGTACCACCCTAAATGTGGTACAAAAACACACATGGAGAGTCATAAAGTCAATTGGTGGCAAAAAGAAAAACTCTGACTCCTGAGGTTGGACAGGATGATTCCCATGATCCCCCAATATTAAGCCTATTACACCTTACACAATAGTACCGCAAAAAAGGTTAAACCTTTATACATTTCAAGAACTGGAAGCAAACGAGTCTGTGCGGGGTAACTTTAGTTCTTGGGAACTTTTAATGCTCTATGTAAGGCTGATTTTTTTATTTAGCCATACTGTGATTTCCCCTTCATTGTGGCTCCTGCCAGCTACGATGGGCCAAACACTGCAGTGTACACCATAACGTCTTCTGAAACACTGAGTGGTTGATAAATTGCCCACATTTACTCATGTGAATAGAGACCTAAGTACAGTTAATTGCAGCAAAGGCAGAACTTAAGGCCTGCTTTCACAAGTAAGTTACTCTGTTTTATAGAGAATTAATGCTATAATCAGCAGGACTCCAATCAATAGCAAGTTTAGGAAAGTACAACATAATTAATAGAAAACCAAGATATCTTGAAAATAAATTATCACATCTTAGCTACTTACTACATGCCTTGACAACCACTAAATAAAAAGACCACCCATCTTAGAAAGTGTCAGACGTACAGACTAACAGAATCTGGGAATACTTCAGCTGGAAGCTACACTAACATTTACTTACTACTACTACTCAAGTCTAAACTACTGGCCATTTTTAGATATGGGACACTAGGTCAGGTTAACTTTGGACCAACACAGTAATTCTTATACCACATTACCCCTGAACCACTGAATATACCCTTGCCCTGTCCTCTAGGTTCTCTCAGTTCTGTAGTGAATGGCAAGAAAAAGAAAATAGAATTCTTAGGTGAGCTGGATTTTGATAAGCGGTATCTTTCTGATTCCTGATAATGACACCATATTGTGTGCTATGAAACATAAAAGGAATAAATTATCTCTGTCCAAAGTCTGAAGGAGGGTGGTTTACGTTGTCCTCTTTGGATAGAAAATACATGAGGTTTTCAGACACTGCAGTTTTTAACGTAACATTTATTGCAAAGCTGTGTACTTTCATATGTAAGTCTCAGCAATGAGCTGACCCTTAAATATGCCTTTAGATCTACAAAATTTGTCACTGCTTTAACTTGTCACTTGCGTAGTGAAGGGGCTATACAAGTATTCACATGTGCTGTATTAACTACTGCCTACTTGATCTTCTGCTATTTTAATTCTGGACAGAGCAATGATTTGTCCTTGATGATTGCACTGGCACCTAACCTCAGGGCTGAGATTCACAACCTAACAACAGCAGCATAACAAATTACCAAGAGGCAGCAACTCATCAAGCGTGGGATGCCCAACTACAGTGTAGTACGACTTAGTTTTAAGCATCATTGAAGGATGGTTATGCTAAGTTGCATTTTCTTACAATAGGGCAAGTGAAGAATGTACATCCAATTAATTAACAGCTACTATGTCTCAGCTAATGGGGGCAACTTCTTAAGCTGACAATTCATTGCACAGCTGAGATCTTAATGAAATGCAGCCCACCTGAAGAGGCTTTCTCCTAAGCATTTCTCATGTTGCCTCTCCTGTTGTGAATTAGGCAGGAAAGCTACCACCAGCCCAGTCCCATTTCCTCCCTTCCTCAATAAACAGAGGTACTAAAGCCTTTTCAAGACCCAGTTCTTGGACTCCTCACACTTCTTTAACAACTAAAGTAAAGCAAAATCCGTCAGCTGCAAATTAAGAGTCTGCTTTAAAGGTTAGACACTGTAATGTATTTCTGCCCCAAATCAGTGTTCTTATACGTTAAACAATTTCCCATAAATGCATGTTTAAAAAAAAAACATGATAAAAGCATCCTATATGCCCTGTAGACATTTTAGCAGCTCCCTTAATTCTTTACAACATTCTCAGTTGAACTTAACACTAGGAATTATGGACCATCAGCAATGCTTTGTACTGCAGAGACAACCCATTTCTAGGAGAGTATCTGTAAAATGTCTGTATGTAGCATCCCTGCTGATACTAGATAGTTAAGGTCAAAGTGATAGATTAATCTAATAAAATACAATTCATATTCTTCCCATATCCTTTAGAATTCAGGTTATATCAAGGAATCCCTTCACTGCTCTCAGATTCAGACAGTCTTAAACAGATGTACCTGACTGTCATGCAATTTATATACACTTGTACAAAACTTCTGAATTCTGCTCCACCTACTAAGGTAAATAACTGGAAACATTCAATACAACTGAAACACTGAAATTGCTGCATGCTAGGCTTCTTCATGTTTAACTGCTCCTTAAGGGTACATGTAGCTCTTTCACGACAGACATTTTGCTATAGATCTCAGTCCAGTCTTTTGAGTACCTTTTTCTGTTCTCCAAAAATGAATTCATTCACACCATGAATTCCATTCACACTAGCACATGTAACTCTTTGAAAGGAGGAAGGACCCGAATGGTCAGGTTCACTTTGGTGAAGGATGTAGGACAGCCAAGTCTGGACATGCTAACTTGCTGTACGAGGTACACAGTATTTTGCAGAAGCAAATCCAGTGTTACTGTATTTTGATTTCTAAAAGGGTGGAAAAGAGTTACACTGCATTGCATCAGATGGCCTGGGTAATTCATGAATGTAATGAGGAAGAAGAAATTTGTAATCAGTGCACTTTGGTGCAACTATGTACTATTATACTGTTACCAGTCTAGTTGGTAATCAGAACTCGACTCTTTACCTCTGAATCCACCTGAATCTGGTGGAAGCTGGATGAACCATGAAGTCTTCCAATTAAAAGTGAGCATGAATCACCCTGGAGTGAGTTTATGCCCCTGAGATCCTCTTTTTCTTAATACTATATTAAAGTTAATTCAGCTCATTGCTAATGATATAGTCCAGATAGCAGCAAATGGATTCAACTACTTATTTGTAACTGTGTAAAAACCGATGTGTAACTAATTCAATGTCCACTAAATATATTTGCTTGAAGGAACAGTGGTTTTCTACCCAATAGATTGTTGTTGTTCCTCTCAATACATTCAAAGATTTTTGTAACATTTTTTGCCTTTCCTAAAGGATATATTGGGCATAAAAACAACATAAGAACAACTTAAGCAGTTCAATTATCTTCCTCCAGTGATTGATCTATATTGTAGCAGGATTCAAAAAATACTTACGCTCAACAAAGTAAGAGCTGGCATCAATCTTCCAGATAATCTGACCACGGTGAGAGCCATTGACACCACGGTTCTTGTAGTCCAAAAAGTTTTCAGACAAGACCTCATCTATAAACAAAGAAAATGGTTTCATCAAATGCCTGTTTCAGTGACATTCATAGCACAGTCAGGCTAAAAATATGCCTTTGGCTTGACAGAACATACTAGAGCTGCTAGACAGCTTGGCACCACATGTTGAGAAATCAGTTTTTTTCACTCATTTATATATTTTAAAAGTTTGTAAAAAATCACAGCTTTTCCTGAAATGTAATTTAAAAAATACATCCTTATAAAATAATCAAAATTGAAAACATCTAGCTTAGGATGGATGAACCCCTACCCAATTAAACATAAGTATCTAGCTGTAACAGAGAATGGCAGCAAAAAACAATCCCCCCCCTTGCATCAACTCTTCCCTTAAAAATAACCCCACAGAAAACAGTTATGTGTAGACATCTGTACTACACTCACTTGTATCACAACACATGTGGAGGATATTTATTTTTGAAGAATCCCACTCCCTGGGTGCCTTCACAGCTCTTGGCCTCCAAATCCCAATGACTGATAACAAAATGATGTCCCTTTGCAGTGTTCCACTAGCAGCTGTCTGACTACCAAGCTGATCTTCAGATAAGTCAAGGGGTCATCTATAAAAATGAATAATCTCTAAAATAGTTGCTGAAAACCAAGGCTGAGGAAGCAACTGCCTTGCAGGGAGAGGGCTGCATGTAAATAAAAGGTGGACAGGGAGTGAGCCTGAGGAAGTGGCCTTCTGGTTGACCAGTCAAACGAATTCTTAGTCTGCTTCCAAGTTTCATCTTGGACTGCTCAAAAAGCTCTTTTCCACACCAACCTGCAAGCCCTGCGCAGTGTAGATATGAGGGAACACATCCTGGCCTCGAGGTAAGGGCCTGGTTCTTGACCCTTTTTTATTCAACAGCTTAAAAACCAGCCAGGGATGCTGGGCTGCAGCCCCAGACCCACGCTCACAGGCTTATGACAGACTTTCAAGCAAACAAAAAAGCACATGCTGCCACCATACCAGGCTAGCACTTACGGTTTTCATTGTCACTAAGTACAAACAGTGCAGCAAAAATAAAGTAGACACACAGAGACATATACAGCCTATTAAGGGGGAGTGGGGCTTATGGGCCGTGGCCTGTGGGAGCCCAAAATGGTGACAAACTCAAGCGGCTGAAGCAGCGACCCAGGGTGGGCCTGGCCATGGCTTCATCGCTCTGGCTTCAGGGGGATGACATGGATTTTGCATCTGTGCCCTGTCAAAACAAACAGCTGCCATCTCTGCCTGCTGAGACCAGCCAGCAACTTCCTGGATTCCCCCTCTCAGCAATGAGGAGAGATTTAATTTTAACAGAGATTTGTACAAACACACTTTAACCAACTCAACCTTACTATGGAAGCGGTCCTGGGTGGGTGATGAGATTCAGTTTTGAAGACAATTGAATTATTAGTTGCTCTAAAAGCTGAGGAAAGAGGTGAACCACTCAACCAGAGATTAAAATGCATCACTTGCTTTCTTATCACAGAGGGCAACAAGAAAACAAAGATGATGCCACACAACAAAGGACACCATATCTGAGGATGGATTGGCTGTGTGACCAAGTGCAGAGCAGACAAGGAAGCCCAACTGACGAAGTCAAGAAACTCAAAGACTAACAGATTTTATATATACACACACAAATGTTAAGTAAAGTAGATTTCTAAACTGAAGGAAACTACACTGGCACTGAAATAAAAAAAGCAGCAGGCAGACACCAGCGTTGTCCCGTTGGTTTTACATAGCTGCACTCTCACAGGAGGAAGGTAAGTGGGCTACCAACGCTGAACCCTTCCGTGCCACTCTCTTGGGAGATTCACAACAGAAATCCTTTTAAAGAGGTCATTAATGATTGCAATGGATAATTCTAAATGGCAATGCTATCTATAATACATTTTCCCTTTGCTGACTTCCTAATTCTCAGCAATTATTTCCCTAGCTGTGTTTCATGCTCTGCATTGAAGTGGAAATCTTTTAGCACATTCACATAGTGTATCTCTGAGGTAACCCTTCAAAGGTAAAATCCTTTTGTATGATTTCTGTTCTTCCTCTGTACTTTATAGCTGGTTGTACCTTCCTTAAAATGCCAAATTATACGTGTGTGTATATATATATATATATAAAGGACAGTGTGCTGGTTTGGTTTGGTGGGATTTTTTTGGTAGTAGGGGAAGGGCCCCAGGGGTGGCTCTGGTAAGAAGCTGAGAAGCTGCCCCTGCTCCAAAACCAGCCAAGGAGCCATTAAAGAGATGATAGATGAACCTCTGCGATTAACATACGAAAGAACTGAGGTGAGACCTGAGCAGAACAGCACTTAAAGAAAAAGAAGAGCTGAGCTGGAGAGGCAGAGCTCTGCTTGTGGGTGGTGAGGAAGAAGGTGCCCGAGCAGAAGTTTCCCTGCAACCCACGGCGAGATGGCAGCTGTGCCCCTGCACTCATGGAGGAACATGGTGGAACATTCCCTGAAGGTGCAAGGAGGGGTGAACTTGGCCAGTGGACTTGGATTCTGTGGCCAGTGGATTTGCTGCCAGTGGACTCTGATTGCCCAGCTGTGGAAGCCCCCGGGCCAGGGGAGGTGGCTGTTCCCGAAGCCCCCGTGACTCTGTGGGAAGCCCAGGCTGGAGCAGCTCCGGACCTGGTGGGAAGGACTCAGGAAGGAGAGGTTGGTGGAGG